GAAAGAAAGAAAGAAAGAAAGAAAGAAAGAAAGAAAGAAAAGAAAGTGAAAGTGCTTTGTGAACTGCTGAGGGCAGTGCAGGGGTGAGGTTTCCCAGCTCACTAGATAATGGCCAGTATCCTGGGCATCAGCTTCTGCTTTGTGGTGGGGTCTGCAGGTGGGCAGTCCTTGGCCTTCAGAATGATCTCATGGGCCTCCCGGAAGAGGTCCTCCCCCACTGCTGCCTCCACACGATTCCGCCAAGCGGCTAGCTTGGGTCGGCCTTCAAAGACTTGGCAGCCAGCACCTACGGGCTGTGGGGAAAAGGGGACAGAATGGGGATGGATGGTTGTAAGGGCAAAGATGGGCAGCATCTGATTTGGGGACCACAGAAGCTCCAGAAGGGGTTTGCACACACACACATAAGCACAGTCCCGTAGCCAGGTGGGGCAGGCATAAGCAGGACTTCAGCAACTAGCCAGGAACCCCTGCCTAGTGGGCCCACCTGCCCCCAGCACTCACATGCATCAGCTCCGTGATGGCTACCAGGTCAGCTAAGGAGATGTGAGGCCCGGCGAGGAAGGCCTTGTTCTGGAGGAACTCGTCCTCAAGCAACTGCAGGTTCACGTCCAACTCCGCCAGGGTGGCTGCCAGGGTTTGCGGAGACACTGGCTCACCCAGGAAAACAGGGAACATCACCTGGGGATGGGGCAGGCGAAGTGGGGAGTTAGTGGAGTAGGGAGTTAGTTCTGGTTTGCATTTCCGTAAGGATTAGTGATGCTGAGCATCTTTTCTTGTACTTGTGGCCCAAAATGATAATATTCTGAATATATTGTGTTAAGTAAAATATATCGATTTCTTTTTACTTGTTTTGTTTTGTTTTTGTTTTTGTTTTTTTGTGAGACAAAGTTTCGCTCTTGTTACCCAGGCTGGAGTGCAATGGCGCGATCTCGGCTCACCGCAACCTCCGCCTCCCGGGTTCAGGCAATTCTCCTGCCTCAGCCTCCTGAGCAGCTGGGACTACAGGCACGCGCCACCATGCCCAGCTAATTTTTTGTATTTTTAGTAGAGACGGGGTTTCACCATGTTGACCAGGATGGTCTTGATCTCTTGACCTCGTGATCCACCCGCCTCGGCCTCCCAAAGTTTGTTTTGTTTTTGAGACAGTGTTTCACTCTGTCACCCAGGCTGGAGTTAAGTGGCACTACTGCAGCTCACTGCAACCTCTGCCCCCCCAGGGTTCAAGAGATTCTCCTGCCTCAGCCTCCCGAGTAGTGGGATTACAGGCGCACGCCATCACACCCGGCAGATTTTTGTGTTTTTATTAGAGATGGGGTTTCACCATGTTGGCCGGCCCGGTCTCAAACTCCTGACCTCGTAATCCGCCCGCCTAGGCCTCCCTAAGTGTTGGGATTACAGGCGTGAGTCACCATGCCCAGCCCTCCCTCTACTTTTTAAATGTGCCTACTAGAAAATCTAAAATTACATATGTGGCTCACTTTATATTTCTATCGGACAGCACTTGACTAAATGAACTAAATTCCAGAGAGGCGCAAGCCCTTCCCAGACAAGCTACTTTCATGCCAGTTTCATTTCCTGGGGCCCAAGCAGGCAGTGAGAAAGGCTGCCACAGGCACAGGCTTTTCCGACTGAGCAGCAGTCTGGGAACTGGGGGCAGGGCTGAACAGCCGAGAGATCTTACAGGCACCGTAGCAGTTGGTGATTAGATTCCAAAGCCCTGCTGGAGTGAGGCTAGTGACCTGATCTCACATTCAAGATATTTGAAACCAAAGATAAACAGAAACTAACTAAAGCTGCAACCAGTCCACCTCCTGATTAGCTAGAAGAGAACAGCCTCCCATCCTGGCTGCCTGACAAAGGGAAGTGCAAGCCCTTTTTTGCGGATATTTATTATGCAATTTAATCTCTGCTTTTCTTTCATCATAATGTCTGGCACACATGAATAAGTCATGAGGCCAGGCATGGTGGCTCATGCCCGTAATTCCAATACTTTGTGAGGTCGAGGATGGCAGAACACCTGAGGTCAGGAGTTCAAGACCAGCCTGGGCAACATGGTGCAACCCCAACTCTACAAAAAATACAAAAATAAGCCAGGCATGATGGCAGAAGCCTGTAATTCTAGCTACTTGGGAGGCTGAGGTGGGAGAATCTCTTGACGCCAGAAGCTGGAGGTTGCAGTGAGCCAAGATCGAGCCACTGCACTCCAGCCTGGGCGACAGAGAGTCCATCTCAAAAAATTAAAAAATAATAATACATCATGAAATACGCAAAGAAGCAGGCATATGTGACCCATTATCAAGAGGGGGAAAAAAACAGTAGAAATAGACCCATAGGCTGGGCACAGTGGCTCATGCCGGTAATCCCAACACTTTGGGAGGTCAAGGAGGACGAATCACTTGAGGTCAGGAGTTTGAAACCAGCCTGGTGAAGTCCGGTCTCTACTACAAATACAAAAAGTAGCCAGGTGTGCTGGTGAGTGCCTGTAGTACCAGCTACTTGGGAGGCTGAGGCAGGAGAATCGCTTGAGCCCGACAGGTGGAGGTTGAAGTGCACTAGATCGTGCCATTGCACTCAGCCTGGGTGACAGAGGAGACCTGTCTCAAAAAACAAATGAAAATAGACCCACATTTAGAACATTTAGGTGATGAAATTAGTTGACAAAGATTTTTAGTTAACCGTGATAAATATATTAAAGAATTTAGAAAAAAAGATAAAATGGTTGAACAGATGGTGAATTTCAGCAGAGAAGTAGAAATTCTAAGAAACAGCCAAATGGGGCTGGGCTTGGTGGCTCCCGCCTGTAATCCCAGCACTTTGGGAGGCTGAGGTGGGCAGTGCGAGGTTCAGAGATGGAGACCATCCTGGCCCAACATGGTGAAACTCCGTCTCTACTGAAAATACAAAAATTAGCTGGGCATGGTGTAGTGCATGCCTGCAGTCCCAGCTACTCCGGAGGATGAGGCAGGAGAATTGCTTGAACCTGGGAGGTGGAGGTTGCAGTGAGCCGAAATCACGCCACTGCACTCCACCCTGGCGACAGAGCAAGACTTTGTCTCAAAAACAAACAAACAAGAAACAAATGGAATTTCTAAAGGTGAAAAATACATTCTCAAAGAATGTATGGGATGAGCTTAACAGCAATTTGGCACAACAGAGGAAAGAATCTGTGAAGGCAAAGACAGGTCGGTAGAAAAAAATTCAAAACTGAAAAGAAGAAGAAGAGCAGAAGATCAAACACCGCATGTTCTCACTCATAGGCGGGTGTTGAACAATGAGAACACATGGACACAGGGAGGGGAGCACTACACACTGGGATCTGTTGGGGAGAAATAGGGGAGGGACGGTGGGAAGTGGGGAGCTGGGGAGAGATAGCAAGGGGAGAAATGCCAGATGGAGGTGATGGGGAGGAAGGCAGCAAATCACACTGCCACATGTGTACCTATGCAACAATCTTGCATGTTCTTCACATGTACCCCAAAACCTAAAATGCAATAAAATAAATAAATGGAAAAAAAAAAAAGAAGAAGAAGAAAACGGTGCCTGAGCACGTTTGGGGAATGCCCTGACTGCCGCCCCCACGCTCCCAGCCTCACCTTATGCCACAAAGCCCGGAGGCAGCTCCTCCGCAGAGTCGTGTGCTGCCATGCCAGGTACTCATCCACGCGCGCTCGGGCCTGAAGGTCCTGAGGGTACCAGTAGTCAGGGACCTTATATTTGTGTGTCAGGTAGAGCAGGATGGCCACACTGTGGGTGAGGGGAGACATGGGTAAGGAAGGGCACTGTGCTGGGTATTTTATACACAGTCATTTTTTTTTTAGACAGTCTTCCTCTGTCACCCGGGCTGGAGTGCAGTGGTACAGTCTCAGCTCACTGCAGCTTCAGTTTCTGTAGGAGAGCACCATCACACCTGGCTGTTTTTTTTCTTTTTGTAGAGATGGAATCTCACTGTGTTGCCCAGGCTGGTCTTAAACTCCTCCTGGCCTCAAGCTTCAAGCAATCCTCCAGCCTTGGCCTCCCAAAGTGCTGGCATTACAGGCATGAACCACTGTGCCCAGCCCACTTCTTTAAACTTTCTGACAATTTGCCAAAGTGTTAGCCTCATTTTCCAGAGAAGGAACCAGGCTTAGAAAGGCAAAGACTTGCCCTAGGGCACACAGCCTTTAATAGCAGAGCTGAGAATCTTTCTGAGGCTAACACCCAAGCTTTTCCTACCACCAGGCAAAATCTTACAACAGTGTCCTGCCAAATGTTTAGGACAGTTTCTGATCAGAGGACCAGAGAAAGCTTCCTGGAGGAGGTGGCATCAAAGTTGAGCTTTGAAGGAGCTCAGTTCTTTCCATTCTGCATCTGCTTCATCCTCTGGCATTCCATCCAGTCTCTGATGGCCTGGCTGTTCAGAAAGGCTTCCCTGTCCCTTTGTTCTTTCTGTCATTCTGTCTGCCAAGAATCAGCTCCTACCTAAGCCGACTGAGGTAGTGTGGCTCCCTAAAGCACCAACCAGGGAACACTCCTGCAGCTGCAGGATCCTAGAAGAGCAGAACAGACAAGGCCCCCAGCACTGTCCTCCTTCCCTGGGTTTTGAGGGCCGCCATGGTGATGAGATGAGCATGGAGCTGGAAGAACACTGAGGATGTGTCCATTTGGAAACATGGAAAAGCCTTCAGGAACTTGGGGTTTCCCAAGGGTTGGGCATGCCAGCCAAAAGGGCAGAAAACCTCCGTATCTGCCACTGGTTCATGTTCTCTATTAAGCTGGGCTACACCCATGTCCAGGTTAACAACTCCATTGTCTGTAGCTTCTGTTTCTATAGGAATGCACCACCACGCCTGGCTATTTTTTTCTTTTTGTAGAGATGGGATCTCACTGTGTTGCGCAGGCTGGTCTGAAACTCCTGGCCTCAAGGCTCAAGCAATCCTCTGGCCTTGGCCTTTTGCTCCCAGCTGATTGTTGAAGCCACCTTTGAGGGGGGCTGCAGGTCCCTGTGAGCCACAGACCTCCTGAAGGTGAGAGGAGTGACAGGGATATGCAGAGATTGCACATTGCCTCTGACCAGTACCCGGGGTCACAACACTGAGTGACACAAGGACTCAGGACACCTGGGCACCAGGAAGGAAGAATGGCTCTGGCAGAATGTCAGAGGAATTCATCCAAGGCACGTCCATCCTGAGATTTCAGAGATGAGCTCTAAAGCACAAACTCCAGGTTCTCCTTGTTATGGGATGAGTGACTCTGGTGACAAAAGTGGCAGAACCAGAGAAAGGTTGAGATTTCCTGAAGAGGATTCAACTTCTTGGGACCTGGTGTGATGTAAGTCATCCATATCCTGGTGTGATGTAAGTCATGCCTCTCCCATCGGGGAGACCCATCCCGGGAAGCTGCAGCCCACAGACGGAGCCACTGGGCAGCCCAGATGCCACTGAGCCATCGCCACACAAGCTTAGCCAGAGGCCTGCCCCCATGGTGGGCAAAGCTGCCATCCTCCCCTGCCCTGCCCTGCCTCAGGGATACACTCACCAGCAATCAAAGGACTGGTATGGAAGTAAAATAGATGTTTGCTTTTCCAAACATCAGGGTGAACTGGAATGGCAGGCAGGCAGAGGCCTGAGGTCCAGTCCCAACTCTCTGCGGGATGTGGGGCAAAGAGACTCTCTGCCTCTGAAGACTTTAGTTTCCTTGTCTATGAAATAGAGGGTTAGAACAGGATGGTTCCAGCAGGCCTGGCAGCAGCCCCAGGCTCCCAGTTACCTCTCTCTCAAGATGAAGTCCCCGTCCTTCAAGACTGGCACCTTCTTCAGGGGGTTCACCTGGGCAAAGGCATCGCTGAGGTGCTGACCTGGAAGAGTCCAGCATGGTAGGTGGTGGGAGGAGAATGCTGAGCCCTCCATGGCCTGTGCCCCTCCTTGCAATGCTAAGAACCCAGTTTCACAGCTCTTTGTCCCATCAGTCTGCACTCTTGGATGGCAGACTGGAAGGGCCCCTGTGGGAGGAGGAGGCCGCTCTACCAGCTGGTACAAAGTAGACAACACCCCTTGCCAAGTCCGGCAGGCACAGCCTCCCCTCACAGCCTGCTCCTCTGCAACAGAGCTCACCATGCAGGGGGTGGTGCCTGGACCTTTGCACGCACCCTGCCCACGTCCTCTTTCCACTACTGCCAGCTTCATGAACTCACATTCAGAGTGCCCCAAGCTGCAGGGTAGGTCACCTGAGGGGACTCTGACTTACTACCATGTCCCTTCCACCCAGAGAAGTGATCTTTTTCTGATATCTACTTACTTGGAAGCAACTTCTACTGGCCCTGCTGTGTCCCTTGCTTCGCCTTGCCCTGGGCACTGTGGAGCTGTGACTTTAAGCTCTGCCAAAGCTGGGGCAGATTTCTCACCCCACCTGCAGCCCCTGAAAAGTACAGGCCAGTGTCCTCTGGGCACCTGGCCTCTGCTTGTGCTTGTCTGAATGCTTTCTGCCTGAGTTTGTCTGAGTGGTTTTCTGCTGCACATGCTGCCAGAGAGAAGCTTTGTTTGTTTGTTTGTTTGTTTGTTTTGAGACAGAGTTTCACTCTTGTTACCGAGGCTGGAGTGCAATGGCGCGATCTCGGCTCACCGCAACCTCCGCCTCCTGGGTC